ATTCAAGTTTACTAAAAAAATACTATAATCTAATTTTATATTTTTTTTACTTGAATTTTTATATAAAGTCTTAATAAAATATGAAAATTTTACTGTTATTGAAGATTTGTGTTGATTTAATATAAATTATTTTTAAAAAATACATAAAAAATTATTTTTTATCTTAAAAATGAAATCGTTGAAATTTTGGGTGAAAAAAAAATCACATATGTAGATATAATGTTATCTTTTATATTTGAAATGAGTAATGTTAGATGAATAAAAATTTTGAAGATTTTTTGAACGTTTTATTGAAATTGACAGATGCTTATATTGTCATAATCAATTAAAAAATTTCATAGATACTTATACTTATACATAGGGAATAGAGAATTAAAAGAGATGTTAGGGATAATTTAGAGATTTAAACACATGAGGATATGATGATAATTTAGATATTTAACTATGCAAAGATGGCATAGCATTTAAAATTCTTTGTAAGGATAAAATAGTAAATCAAAAGTTTTCATGTTAAGGTAGTTTTATTAGTAGTATAGATAAACCATAAGCTTACCCATCACATTTTTCTTTGATTTCTTTGAGTTAAACACTGTTGGTGATACAATTTCAGACCACCGATCGTTCTTAAATTCCAAGCCTTCATTATCCACAAATTTAAGAAATTCCTTATTTTATTTCTTCAATCATCTTTTTTTGCTGAAAGCCATCCATTTTTTGTATTCTTCAAACTAGACTTACGTCAAAGTAACTACCTTTTTTTTTCTTTATCTAGATTTACACAAGATAAAAGATTATAACAATCTGAGAATTTTGGGGTAGTTATCTTTTGTTTTTCCTGTTTCTTTTTATTCCCAATTGTATGTTATATCCATATTCATTTTTTTTTATCTTGAATTACCCATTTGTGAAGAGATATGCAAATTTTATTTATTTTATCAGATTTCATAATTTGAATGATACAAAAAAATGAACTTTGAGACAATAAAAGAATTTTTTAAAAGATTTGAACAGATATTTGAGTTTACCCATTAGAGTACTCGACAATAAATAAAGCTTGTTACTCAAATTTAAGCCTAAATTTAAGTCATGGTTGGAGATGCTCTCATAATCATCTAACCTATCAACTATTTGTTTCCTTTTTTGGAGCAAAAAATCCCTCCAGTAACATGCAGAGGAGTAGCTTCTGCCATTTCATTTATGCCAAAAACCCCACTGGACAGTTAAAACAAACTATATATCAACTAAAATATTGGGGCAATCCACTCCTTTATTAGTACCACTTTTCCAAAAAAAAAAAAAAAATTAAGCACCTAATATCAAGGATTTGATGATATTGTGATAAAAAATACCCCAAAATCTACCACAACACCAGCCACCAACTCTTACATAAGTAGACATAGATTTTTTTCGTCATGGTAGAACCAAATGAACCAATAAAACAAACAAAAAACAACAAACACTTGCAAAACAAAACAACTTAATGAAAAATAATATTAAATTACAATCGTTTGATTTGTTTAACTTTATAAAAAAATATGTGGTGTTAACTCTCTTTGACGTACTTCTCATGTATATTGTCTTCCATCGCAATTGTCGTTAGACTTGTTGGATTTGTGAGTTACAAGATGAGAGATAGAGAGCGTGTTCCACCAGGCATGCCAGCTTACCTTCTAGATCTGTTGCGGTGCTGCGCAAGAGGAAGGAAAGAGAAGAGATCATGAGAGAGGAGGGGGAGGAACAGAGAGGCTGGTGAGTGGAGAGAGAGGTGGAGAAGCTTACCTAGCGCTGATAGTTCGCTAGTGTGTGGGCGAAGGAGATAAGGGTTTCATGGATTGTGTCACATTTATCAAGTTTATAGATTGGGTTTTTAGTCCAATTTAAGACTATTTAATTAAATTTGAATTTATATTATTTAATTAAAGGGTAATTTTTTATGCACTAAAACTTGCATTAAAGCAATTGCAGTCAGATGAGACTCACTGATCTAATAATTACAAATAATTTTGATACAAGTTTTAGTACACATAGCATTGCTCTCAAAAGAAAAAAAAAGTAAATTATTATTTAAAATATAAATACAACAAGATCAATATTTTATTTGTGATATTATAGAGTATTTTCAAACATACGTTTTAAATATATACTAACAATTACCTGTGCCTAAAGACACGACGTAACAAACAAAAAAATCGAAATCAAATACATGTGTATTAAGAGACTGTATGCCATAAAAAATTGCCAATTAGAAAAACTAAGAAAAAATATTGATAAATATAATATGGGCTCATTATTTTTTAAAAAAATTGATAAAATACAAATCAAAATAATTTCAAACATTGTTCAATGACCGTTTAATTATTGATTGATATCCAAATGGTAGTAAATTCAAAAATCATTGTGGTATGAAAACAATCAAATAAATATGAGATAGAAAGCAAGGAAGGGAGATTAAGAGATAAATTGCAACAAAAAATATAATAAACAACATCAACAAAACCAAAATCAATTAAAACGAAAATTTTAACACTCTATCGGGTTAAACTATATTTTTTGTCCTCATAGTATGTTGATAATTTAGAGAATGCTCGTACCTCTAAATATAATATTTTTTTTCTATTCTTTCAAACAATTACGACTAAATTCTCTCTAAAAATAAGACCCTACAAAAATATAAAGATGTGCAAACCTTATCAAGTAAAAATATTTTTCATACATCATATTTAAACATATTCGTAGAGAGATAACATGTCATCAATGGAAACTGGTCTTGATCAAATTTTCATGATTAAATCCAACTACACTACCATTATCAAATTGAAAAATTGAATATATACAATTTAAGTCCCATAAAGAATTCAAGCAAAATCCTTTAAAAATACAACCATACAGAACTATTACCACTAATATTACCATTACTATTATTACCACTTAGCCTAAATTTTGATAACTAATCAAATTTTGTACTCAAATTAAAATTAAATTTAACCAAGTCAACTATTTAAATTAATTTTGGTATTTAATTCAAACCAAATTTCATCAACTAATATGTTGCACAAATTTGTCTCAATAGCTTTACCCCACCACTACCCATCAATCACAAATTCGAGATTAACTATCACCACTAAGACAACCATCAGTATCACTTTCAAACCTAAAACATATCTTCAGCAACCATCGGTACCATTTCAAGAAGGCAAACTTATTTTTAACTACAATCCAAGTCAAATAATGTATCAAGTTGGCAACAAATCAAGTTGAATATCAGTATACTGCAAGAATAGTGTATAACTTGCAAAATTTATGAATGTGCACAAAACATTAAATTGAAGTTAAGATTTGAAATTTTTCAGAGAGAAAATAATATTTAAAAACATAGACATTATAACCTAAAGAACCTTGAATAGCAGTATGAAAAATTCATTAAATATCGTGCATACACCTCAAAGTAGTTCTTGTCATTTTTACTTTCTTGTAAATATGAGTTGACTTTTGAGTATTTTTTTGTTTTTTTAAATTATGAATTGGATTATAGACCCAAATTATTGTAATAAAAATTTTGATTAGATTTAATTTTTTAGAGTTTTTTTGTAGAGTTTAAAATTTAATAAAATTTAATGGATTTAATTTATTTATTTTTTTGTGAGCTAGTGATGTATATGGGACCTTTCTAAAAATTTGAGGCTTAAAGTTAATGTTTTTTGTCCCATATTGTTGGGTCGGCCCTGAGTGGCTATTCATTGGGGACAAAGATTGAGAGGAGGGACAAAGAGAGAAAGAGAAGGAGACAAAGGAAAAATGGGATATCAGAAATAATTGGGTGAAAATATCGAGATGGATGCAAGTGAAAAAGGAAAGCGGAATAAATAATATAGTATCATCATTATATTAAATATTTTGAAACTGTGATATGAAAAAATGATTTTTCTAATACAGAAATGATTGCATGAATGGGGATCAATATTTAAATATGGATGTTAATTTTAAATTTGAACAAAATTTTAAATATGACATTGATTTTGAGCGAGATTGAGAGGCGAATTCAATAAAAGGGTGTCTATTTTAGAAACTAAAAATTTTGAGCAGCTCAAAACGATCTCATACATCATTAGCTTTAAACAGTTTCCGATAACACTGTCCATAAGATGATGATTTTTTTTGTTACGAAACGATCTGAACCGCTCTTTATTTTTAAAATTTAAAATCATTTTATTTTATTATATAAATATAAATAGATCGTTGTTAGAAGGTGTCTATCATTGTGTGCCTATTTAAAAATAGCTGACGAGGCGCGTTCGCATTGGTTACTTGGCCACACTACACTGGATTCACCGGTTGAATGTACCAACCTAAAATTAAAAAGGGTTAATTATATTAAAAGTTCTTAAAATATGAGGTTTATTTTATTTTGGTCTTTATTGTTTTAATTGTATCATTTTAGTTCTTGAAGTATTGAATATTTTTTTTATATAATCTCTCATACAATGTACAGATTACTAATAATTTTTGGTTATAAATTTATCACGTAATACCTAAATATAGACAAAAAATAATTTTAATAAATCTTAAATCAAATATGAGTAGCTCTTGACAAAAAATATATAATATGAGAAACTTTTGACCAAAATTTAGATAGTTCATGATTAAGACTGTGTCATTTAGATAACTATTTAACTAAAATTTGGGTAAAAATTTAGTCAATAGTTATCTAAATTATTTTTTTATCCATATTTAAGTATCACGTTATAAGTTTATGATAAAAAATAATTTGTAATTTGACTGTTATTTGCTTGAAAGATTATATAAAAATATATTCAATATTTTAGAGAGTAAAATAATATAATTAAAATATTAGAGACTAAATTGAGATAAATGTCATTCTTTAAAACTCTCGAGTGCAATTAACCAATTAAAAAAATAAAATAAAAAACTCGACTACTAAAAAGCAAGCCCATATTCTTTCAACGGAACAGAGATATTAGATATAGACTGCGAGAGCGAGCGAGAGAGAGAGAGAGAGAGAGAATCAATGGCGACTTCGAAGCTCCAGGCTATCTGGAACCACCCGGCTGGCCCTAAAACCAGTGAGTTCTACATTTAATTTTTCTGGA